GGAAAACAAATGGACATTGAATACTACAATCATTAGTTTTAGATGTTAAAAAATTAATGAAACTTAGTTATTTAAAACTTTCAGCTTTAAATATTTTGAATAAAATGTATTTATTAATTATTATAATTTGTATTTTGCTTTTCTATGTGTGTGAGCTGTGAATCAAACTCATGGCCTTGTACATGTTAGGCATGCTCTATACCACTGAAATACATCTGTAGCCCAATATTTTCACTTGACTTTTAATATAAATATATAATTTTGCTTTAGATCATTTATGTAAGTAGTATGAGTTCCACAAAGCATATGACAACATTGACTACAATAATATAATTTGGGATTTTTGCTGAAATAAAGGCAAAAAAAATTCATGAAATAAAACAGATTAATAAATAACATTTCTATTCTTTATTCAACTATGTATCACTAATCCATAAACAGAACAATTAGACAGGCATAAAAATGATTAATTTTGGTAGTTCAGCTTTCAAAGATACTATTTTTGAAACTTTATTATTATGAAGCATTATTTACCAAGATAAGAGGATAGTGGGCTGGGCATGGTGGCGCACGCCTGTAATCTCAGCTGTTTAGGAGCCTGAGGCAGTAGGATCACTAGTTCAAAGCCAGCCTGAGCAACTTAGTGAGGTCCTCAGCAATTTAGGGAGACCCTGTCTCAAAGTCAAAATTAAAAAGGGCTGGGGATGGGGCTCAGTAATTAAGTGCCACTGGGTTCAATCCCCAGTATCAAAAAAAAAAAAAGAGGATAGTGTCCATGAATGTATTTTAGTTTTTATTAGTTTGTAAACTTGATTTATAACTTGTAACTTATTCAGGAATATGGTGCATGCAACTCAGTGGGTAAATTGCTCTGGGTGGCACAAATATTAGGAACAGTTTCTGACCTCTTTCCCCCAAATATCTTGGATTTCCTCCTGAGATTTCTTCCTTCTTTGTTAAATTCTTGTTTCCTCTACTATGTCAAGCAATTTATGTGTGCCTCAGTTTCCATCCTTAAACTCACATACCCATTTCATTATGATCCTCAGAAAAAAAACAAAGGGTGTTCTAATTAATAGAACTTATTTTTAGAATGCAGGAGGACATTTGTTTCCTCATGTTCCTGGGGAAAATTTGTCATAAGGGATTCTCCTCTTTAGAGTGTTAACCAGGCAATTCCATGCCTTGTTCCTTTACCTGCCTTCTTCTTGGTCTTTTCCCATTTTTTGTTTTGAGAATTAAACACCTATTTCTCATTCCCTAATTCTTTTTGTGGCTGATTTTGAGACTCCAGATAGTGCATTTGAATTTTAAAAAATATCCACATTTATAGGGCAAATTTTAATGTTAGAACTCTCTAAATTAAGCACCACAGGAGAAGAGATTTTTTAACAGGGGTGCCTCATTTACAAATGACATATACATGAAATGCTACAATTTTGCATTTTGAGTTTTAGATTTTGTTGCCAATAGCAAAAGAGAAGAAGCTCAGAAAGGATTTTTTTATCAGTATATTAATTTATTTTACCCAAAGATAATGAAATTCCTAATCCCAAGGCCATCCTCAGGAAGCCTTTGAAGTGTATGTTTACCTCATTTCCTTCTTTCAAGATTCTCTGAGCTTAAGAGAAATGGCTGCTCTAAATTTTCTTTAAAGCACTGATTCAACTTTCTAAACACCAAACACCACTTATTTATTACTTCTCTTCCCCACCAAGTTTATGTTTTGATAGAGAGTGTCCAGAAAACAAATTAAGTCATAATTTGCTTTTCTCCTTTTAGTTAATCACAAGCATCTATAGTTACTGAACACAGTTTCTGAACAGCATTAAGTAAGTATGATCCTACCGTGAAATTCTGTGATTACAACAGAAGGTAAGGTGTCTCATAATTCTGGACATCTTTATTGAAATGAATGTTATTTCAGTTAGGCCTTTTAAAAATATTGAAAATAGCCTGCAAATATAAGTGTTTTTATTGGTTATTACTTCCTTTTACTGCTTGAAAATCCTTTAGTTGTTGACATTAAAAATGATAACCTGAGGCTGGACTTCTGATAAAAGCCAAATGAAGACATGGGTAAGTTATTTTCCTCAAATAACAGCTATGGAACTATACGAAATTGATAATATGGCCTGGAAATTGAAAATGATCAACTCTGGAAATTGACCTAAGGTATAAAGTTTGAGGGACTTTTATGCTTGAAAAACTGCTGAACTTCTGGTAAGAACCCTGGGCATCTGTAGTGCTATTGGTTATGGCTGCTCACATTCAACTTCCCCACTCCCTTCCCCAGGTCAGTTAGTGCAGAGGTTATGCCATCTTCTCTACTGCAGTTGAAGGGGACACACTCAATGCTGAGGGCCATTACCAAGTAGGAATGACGCATCGAAATTTCCTTGCCAAGCGTACCCCATGCTGCTTAGAGGACATCCGATGGGACATTGCATGCATGCTTTAATAAGGTGACCTTGCTCAAGGACCAAGGCGGATCCGGGTTTAGAGCTGATCAGGTTTGAGGAAGTAACCGGCTCCTTGAGTTTAAGGCGTTGCCAGTTTAAGATAATGGGTTTTAGGGAAGTTAGAGGTTGAAGATTATTGCTGGGATTAGGGTGTTCCTGTTGCTTGTTCCCATTGAGTTCCCGTGAGATTAAAATGGGATTTGGAGATAGCCTCGTGGAGTAGGTGAATTGTGCAAATTGTGTGGGAGACGGCAGAACACGATTGCCCCTGGACCTGTGTGGAGGCGGTGTGAGAGCTGGAATAAAGAATTGCTGTTTGAACCTACAAAGGTGTGTGGTGGCTCGTGATTCTGTGCTAAGCCGAGACATTGGCTTCAGGCAAATTTAATTTAACCAAATTTATATTGGCTGGATATATATGTCAATATTTTCTCTATTTTAAATAAAATAAATCATAATTGTTGAATTCTGAGCCTTAAACTCAAGGAGCCGGTTACTTCCTCAAACCTGATCAGCTCTAAACCCAGATCAGCCTTGGTCCTTGAGCAAGGTCACCTTATTAAAGCATGCATGCAATGTCCCATAATGTCCTCTAAGCAGCATGGGGTATGCTTGTCAAGGAAATTTCGATGCATCATTCCTACTTGGTAATGGCCCTCAGCAACTCAACTTGGAGTAGAAGGTGTTATCCATGACCAACCATGTTGTCTAGGGAAGTAATAATTTCTGAAGCCCCATCAGCACTAGGACTAGGATAAGGCAAGTAAAGTACTCACCTTGGATACAAAATTTAAGGAGGTACCAGAAAAGAAAACACATTAATCAACACAAATATTTTAATGCAATAGTTTTAAAAATGATAATTAATGCAAAAAATCCCAGGATAAACAAAATATCAAAAGTTTAAATTAGAACCATTCTCAGACCCGACAATGGAACTGCTGCAGCTGTGTGTAGCACATGTATATTCCTGGCTGTAACAGTTATCAGAGGAAAAGGTATTCAGGTTTTATTTAAGTATTTCCAAAATATAAAATTTTCTATGGTGTTTTATCTGCATCAATAGAATGCAATAGATCATGTTTTCATTTTGTTATTTTTAAGAATTTTGCCACTTTTGGTCTTTATTTTTCCTTTGATTCCAAATTTTTTTTTTAATACTCTGGATTTTTTTAAGTTCCAGGTAAAAAACACTTTTAATCATTTTTATACATTTCTAGTTTTATTATACTGTGAACAGTGCATACTTGTTTGCATTATTTCCATTCTTGGATTTTTTCTGAAGATTTCTCAGTAGCCTAAGATATTGTAAAATTTATGAATAATTCATATACACTTGAAGAAAATATATTCTCTATTATATAAGTTCAGACTTTGCTATGAGATATACATTATTAATTGCTTCCTATATCCTTCTAAATTTTTTATTGACTTACTCTATTTCATATTGAGAGTTATATAAAGGTTTCATTATTAGTGTGTATATATATATATCACCTATTTCTCCTCACATATATATATATATGTACATTATGTGTATGTACACACATCTTTTTATACACATGTGTATGTATGTGTATATATATAAAAACACATAGATACACATAACTCTGTGTGTGTGTGTGTGTGTGTGTGTGTGTGTGTGTGAGAGAGAGAGAGAGAGAGAGAGAGAGAGAGAGAGAGAGAGAGAACTTACTGGCCAGACCAAAAACACAATCAAAGGAATCTGACACTGGTCAGGAAACAAACTTCTGGCAGGAGCTTGCTCCCAAACCTTCAATTTATAGCAACATGTTACTCTAGTAACTCAACTATCCACCAACAAATGGAGTTGTCGAAAACACACTTAAAAGCAATTATATCAGATATGTGTTTAGAAATTATGCTTTCTAGTAGATGTAGAACATTTTTTCTTCTTTTTTCTTTTTTTTATTGTTGGTTGTTCAAAACATTACATAGTTCTTGATATATCATATTTCACACCTTGATTCAAGTGGGTTATGAACTCCCATTTTTACCCCGTATGCAGCTTGCAGAATCTCATCAGTTACACTTCCATTAATTTTAAAAAAATATCACTCACTATGAGCTTTCTACGACATCTGTACAAGATTTTGGAAAGAGGCGCTAAGCCCTGGGTTCAATCCCCTGAAGCGGCAGTGAAATAAAATTGAAGAGAGAAGGAGGGGTTGCTTGGAGTGGGAGTCTGTAGGGATGAGGGAAGACTGAAGATATTTTTCCACCTCATAGGAAAAAGTTTCTTAAGTTAATTTGGTGAGATTTTTTTACAGACAACTTCAAATGATTCAAGTCGGACTTTGACTTGGGACCTCAGATCAACACCAACCACACATGGAATTATTAAAGGAACTAACTCAGTATGTATCTGTTGGCATGAATGAATCTATAAATTTGAATTCCTTCAAAGCAGTGTCTTGAGAGTAGCTGGCAATCAGTATCTGTGGGTTGCATGGGAATGTAGAGATGAATAAATGAACCGATAATGGCTTGTGGTTCTAATTAGAGCTGTGTCACAAGCCACCGAAGAGCAAGAGTCTGAGTTACCTCCGAAGAGAGGTAAGGGATCCCGAGTCAGGGGGAGTGGGGAATAGAGACTGGGGGAACGGGTGAGGAAGTCGCACCCCGAAAGCTGTGTAGCTCACCTTCACGCGCTCGTAGTAGCTCCCCGTGCGCAGCAACTCGACACCTTTGAACTCGGAATCGAAGTCCTGCAATCTCCGAAGCAGGTGGTCCACGACCTTGTTCACCACCTCGGCTGCGGCTGAGATTTCCTGGCGCCTGAGCCTCAACTTCTCCAGCACAGCCCGGGGCTTCCAGCCGCCAGGCGCCCCTTCCTTCCCTCCCAGACTCGGGGTCCGGAGCGGCGGGACGGAGCAAGGCACTTCCGCGGGCTCAGGCTGGGGTCTCTGTTCCCGAGCCGAACGCGCGCCTCCCTCGCGGCGAGACCCTGCCCTGGGAAGGGGCGGCCCCAGGGCCGGGGGAAGCTCCATTGCCTGGGCTGGAACCGTGCGCGACTCGGCTCGGTCCCTGCTACTAAAGCCCGAGGGCGGCGCACCCTTCGCGCGCAGAGATGGCTTTTTCGATCGGGCTCCGGGAGCACGTTCCAGCAGCTTCTCCTGGGAATCCCGAGCGCTCTGGGTCTGCAAGGATCGGGACTCCCGGACAGGGCCGCCCTTTCCCACGGGTCGGGCGGCCCGGGAAGCAGCGGGAGACTCGCCAGGCCGGGTCAGGGCTACCCTCGTACCCGGCTCCGAAGCCTTGCGGGTGGCAGCTCCGGCTTTCGAAGTTATCGGAGTCGCCTTTCTGCGTCCGGGGTCCATGGCTGGTGCTCTCTGTGGCTCGAAAGAAGAGTCGACTTCGGGAAAAGGCCACGGAAGGAGGAACTTGCAATGACTGGTAGAAATGAAACTTAAAAATGTGGCGCGAACGCAGCGTCTGCGGCCTGGAAGCTGGCACTGGGAGGAAAACCACACCGGGAGGTCACGCGGAGCCACGCCCCCGCCGGGAAGTGGCGGGCTCTCCATCGCCAGGTCGCCTGGCAAGTGCAGGCAGTGCCGAAGGCTTAGGGAACGCAGGTAACTTCCTCAAGGACTTTGATGACCAAACACTTTTGCTGGCACACAGTTCAAAACTATTTTGAAAAACTGCATATTTTTTAACATTTTAAGTTGACAGAGAAACTTTTTCAATGTAAGTTTAAATAAAAGTATCTTGTTATTTTTAGTGGGAAATAGAAAATATTAAAACTTTACAAGATAGAATAAGGATTGAAGTATTTCACTTTTATTTGACTTTGTTTTACGACATACTTTTTGTAATATTTTCTTTTTAGTTGTAGATGAACGTGCTATCTTTATTATTATTTTTTTTAATGTGGTGCTGAGGATAGAACATAGTGCCTCACATGTGTGAGACAGGCACTTTACCACTGAGCTACAGCCCCAGCCCAACTTTTTTTTTTTTTTAAGCATACAAAATCTTAAAGTTTCTACCCACAAGTCCTGGCTTTTTTGATTGATTGGTTGATTTTATATGAGGTTTAACCCAGGGCCTGGCACCTGCTTGGGCAAGTGCTGTATCACTGAACTACATCTCCACCTCAGACTCTCTGAAGCCCATCAAAACAACCTCCAGGCTGGGTTGGGGCCCAGTGACTGGGGTTGTGCCTCACGTGTGAGGCACTGGGTTTGATCCTCAGCACCACATAAAAAATAAATAAAATAAAGGTATGTATCCATCTACAACTAAAATAAATATTTTTTAAACCATCCAGACTGCTTCTGCTATTGTGATTCCAGAGTATCTCATTGTAGGCTTTCAAATATCTATTTACAAAACCAAGCTTCCTCCTTTATAGAAATACGTTTTAGACAGGAACCTCCTGGGTTTAGAAAGCTTTGATTACTTTGTAAAAACTATCTTAACCATTTTTAAGTGTACAACTCAGTGGCAAGTAGATTTACATCATTGTGAACCATCTCTATCAATCCATATCCAGTTGGAATCCATCTGAGTCCAATTCTGTCTTGAAAGACTGAAATTCTGTAATCTTAAACAACTCCCCCTTCCCCAAATTCTTGGAAAACACCACTCTTTCTGTGATTTTACTACCCTTAGTACTTTAAGTCAGTGGAATCATACAGTATTTCTCTTAAACAAAATTATTCTATATTGTAGGATATATGAGAATATGCTTCCTTTTTATGGCTGAATAATATTTCATTGTATATACATATCACATTGTGTTTATCTCTTTATCTGACAATGGACAAAAATGCCTTGATTTCTTTTCTTTTCTCTCCTTCCTTCCTCTTTCTTTTTTTTCTGCTTCCCTCTCCTCTCTCCAAGTCCCACAATGGGATCCCTGTGGATCAAGCCCGTTTAAGTTACCTATTGACAAGAAGGCAGTACCAGGTACTGTGGTACAGGCCAGTAACCCCAGTGACTAGGGAGGCTGAGGAAGATGGATAGCAAGTTCCAAGCCAGCTTTAGCAACTTAACCAGGCCCCCTGCAAATTAG